GGGGGTAGAAGGGGAGAATGGTGGCCATGTGCTCTCCCGGCCTGCCCTTGGGCCGGGACTGGCGGAGGGACGGGACGGGCTGAGGCAAACGCTAGGGCGGCAATGCCTTGCTTCGGGAGAGGTGTACGGTGACGGCGCGGGCCGCGGGTTCTCATTAATGAGCGGAGCCAAGGGATTGTGGCTCGGAGGGAGAAGGGATGAGCTCCCTCGGAGCATACGTAACTGGGCCCTGCTGAAACTCTCCTCTCGTGTCTTGCAGGATGCGTTACGTCGCAGCTTATCTGCTCGCGGTGCTCGGGGGCAATGAGTCCCCCACGTCCAAGGACTTGAAAAAGATCCTCGACAGCGTCGGCATCGAGACGGACGATGAACGCATGAACAAGGTGGCGTTGCCTCTTAATTCCAGTGTCCCAGCCAGCACCAAACATTGGAGCCGTTTCCTTGGCTTTTCCCTTTGCCTCCTTATTGATCTGCTTTTGTTCAGCCTTTCGTTGATCCTTACCAGTGTGATTTCTAAACGCTGTTCAGCCAGTCATAAGATTTTTACAACTTTTGTTAAAAGTCCGGCTTTCTTATTCAATACCTGTCCTCTCCAAAGGTATTTGTAGTTCAGTGTAATCATCCTCATTGAGATGGTGGCTGCATATAAGGTTGCATTGAAAACGTTGTGTTACGACATCCTGTATAGTCTGCACTGAAGGTTCACTTCTTGTTTTCAGTCAGTATCAATTCAGAGCTAACACTTGAAGGCCTGATACTCACTAATACGTTCTTCCTTAGTGTGCTGCAAAGGAGCATTTGTTTCCTCACCGAGAAACATAGGCAAATTCTAACAGGGAGATTAAAGGTATTTGAGGATAATACATAGGAAGATTTTGGAAATTAACACCAAAGTGATTGTGTTGAAAAACAGACTTTTAAAGAGTATCTTAATTAGAACGTTGCTCGTGATATAATAGGTCTTCAGCATTGTGGACCTAAAAATAATCTGACATGGGGAAAAAATCCAAGAACCAATAAAATATTGGTTTCACATATCCCATACTGGTATGTGAAGTGTTTCCAGAGAGATAAAGGTAAAAAGAAAATACTTTCCCAGTGTTTTACCATAGGCCAAACCAGACAGTTGGTTGGCTGAGCTGACAGTATCCTTACAGTGGTTTGGGATTGATTTGGTTTGAACTTGTGGTGCTCCTGTAGTTCTAAGTCTTTTGTCTTTGGCTCCTTTAGGTTTAATACCTTAATGAATTAATTACTTTCTCTGATCCTCCAGTATTTGGAAAGCTGTTTCAGAATATGTTTTGGTCATAATTAATTTTTGCATTGTCTGTATCTTAAGCCTGTGTAAATGTAGTGAAGTCTTAAAAGCGCCTTTCTCCTGATGGAACAGTCATGCAGGCGCATAGTTTCACACATCCCACGCTGTGTGTATGCAGAAGGTCCCTGTTAACAAGCTCTTGGCTAAAGTCCTTTGGCTTTGGCCACTGACTCCTGATAGCTGGGACTCACCAGTAAGTTCTGGAGCATTATTTTTAAGTGCTTGCTATAGCAATTTTGGGGTTTGTGCTTTGCTTTTGTCATCCCTGGTTATTCAACAATGGTAGCAAAATTAAAGTTGGAACTCTGTGTTCCAGGGCAAGGATACAGTGGTTTGGCTTTTAACATTTGTTAGGGCTAGGAGTGGGATTTTGCGGTTTTGGGTCCAGAACCCATGCCTCAGAGCCTCCCAGGGGGCATTAAGCAAGAAATGTAAACAGTCCCTCAGTGACTTACACTGTGGTGGGGCTTCCTGATTGGTTCCACAACATCTCTGTATCCTCTTTTTTTTAAGGTCGTTGGATTAATTATGAATTCTGTACCAGATTTCATTAAAATGCTTAAAGTGTTCAAGACTTAGATAAGGTTTTCATGTCAGTGTTCCGTTTCTGGCACTGAGAAGTGGGAATTTTGGGGCTAGATAAGCAGCAGGATGGAGGCGCTGCATATGATGATTCATCAGTACTCATTTAAATGTAGTTTATCCTCATGCTGTTTGGAAGCTCAACATTCTGCATTTTACTTACAGGTTATTAGTGAGCTGAATGGAAAAAACATTGAAGATGTAATTGCCCAGGGTAAGTAGAGTTTCCAAGTGATCCAGATAATTACCTCTGTTACTTGATAGCCTAGACCTAAGAGTATAGAATTGGTATCAAGTCACTGACTCCTTGTTCAGCATCGTGCATCACAGCTGAATTGAGTTAAATCAGGTCCATTCTAATTCCCTGCAGGTCAGTGCCAGTACCTGCTGGGTTTCGCTTGTGGACCACATTAAACTGGAGAACTCAAGCATGTGTGAGCTTACTGGTAGTGTGCTCATGATGTAGTTTTCTGGACATGTTGATAAGAGACTGAGCTGTCCTTCGGGTTCTCTAGGAGCTGTTTTGTGTTTTACCCACTTGTGAGCACCAGTGATACAAAGCATGAAGAGCAGGCAGTTGGCATTGGGGGTGCAGCTCCACCCTCTGCGGTGAGCACAAGCCTCTCCCGTGCACATCTCTTGTAGAGCTCTCAAGAGTCCAGCATTCCCTTTGCCTGAGACAGAGCTCTGAGGGCTGATTTCCATAGAAACTTGTGCTCTTACTGAAGCTGGAACTTTCCACGTGAATTGACTGGGTCATAGGGCTGAAGTAAAGCAGAGCTGAGGTAGTGCAAAGGTTTCTGATTAATTTTTTTTTTTTTGCAAGTGTATAGGCACAAGGGAATTTGCAGGCATATTTTTGCTTAAAGGTTGCCAGGACTTTGCTTGGCCTTGCTGTCAGAAGAAGGCACTAGACATTTCCATCCATGTGGTTTGAAAGACCTAAGAGAGCTATTATACATGTGGTTACAACACACTTACACTGTCTCTTTCTGTAATGCTTTAAATAAATTGTTCCTTAGAACATACATCCATATGAAACATGTTTGTTTACTTTGCTAGTTTAATTAGATCTTGAAGTAACGGAACTATTTAGAAACTGATTCCCAGAAACTGGAATACAGGCAAACAGTGTTTGTATGTGACCTTTGAATGCCAAGGGAACCTTGGTATGTCAAAGACAAGAGGCCAGAGAACTAGCTGGCTTTCCAAATACAAGCAGAAATCAGAAGTCTCAAAGGAGATGCAATAGGGTTCATAGGGTGCTGAGGAATTTGTTTAAAATACTGTACTCTTTGCCATAAATAAATCAATGTTTCCCTTTCTCTCCTGTAAGTGTGATCCAGTTATGCCCTCAGAATTCTCTTTACCGTTAGAGGGGGGGCAAAAAAAAGTGGAGGAAGTCAGTGCTGCCAGTATGTTACTTTTGAGGTACATTATCACTTTCTAGACTACTGTGCTGTATTCAGAAAACAGTGTGGGTGTGCAAAATTGGATGTGCTTGCTGCTATTTTTATGACAGCTTTTGGAAAAAAGACAGGGACTTTGTGTACAGAAGAAAACTTACTAATAATATGCTGTCAGTGTTCTTGGGACAAGCCTTTGTGAATCTTGAAACTCTCCTGAGTGTTTTTCACAGAACAGTTTGTATTTATCATGGATGCAGCCTCTTGTTCCTTTTAGCAGATAGTGACAGGTTCAATCCATGAGACAGGATCTGTTTTTTCTGCACTCTTCCATTTCCTCTGACTTCTGTGCTTGGGATGAGCATGTAAATAAATACCCTTTTCTTGTGTCCCATTCAGGTAATGGAAAACTTGCCAGCATGCCAGCTGGGGGAGCGGTGGCAGTGTCTGCTGGAGGGGGCTCTGCTGCTCCTGCTGCATCTGCTGCCCCTGCAGCCGGTGAGTGTAAGCTGAGAGGAGGGGCTACAGGGCAACTCCTGCTGTCTCTGGTAACAGCTTGACAACTGAGTCCACATTTCAGGGCTTCTCCACTTTAGGAGTTCAGTATGTGATGGAAATGTCAACTGAACAGTTACTTTTCCTTTGGATAGTCAAATATTTGCTTTTTATCTGCCTTAGGATTGGTCTTGCTTAGAAGCAAGAATCAGAGAGACTTGGTGGTGTAAAGCACATCTCTCCAACAGTAGTGTCTGTACCCATTCAGTGTATTTGGTTGCTCTGGAGTCTCTAATACAAGTAGGCAGGGCAGCTGAGAACACCAAAATTTGTATCTTGTGATACAAGATACAATAATGATATAATATGTATTTTATATATTATATATATAATGATAATATTATCTTATTACAATTATCTTACTACTTGTTACACCACTTATTTGTGGTGCAGTGTTAATACTGACCATTCACTTGGTCTTTTTTTCCTTCAGCTGAGGAGAAGAAAGAAGAGAAGAAGGAGGAATCAGAAGAATCTGATGATGACATGGGATTCGGCCTCTTTGATTAATTATTTGTTATAGAGAAGTTATTAAAAGTCTTTGTTTTAAATGTTTTTGTGTTTATTATTACCATACATGTGCTCTTGGATTCAGCTGTTCTTAAAATAGCTCTGACACAGATTTGGTTTTTATCTCTGTCTCCAATATAGGTGAGTTTTCTGACTGTAGGACTCTCAGAGTACTGAGGAAATGGCAAAGTTTTTGTGAACCTGGATGTTTGTTTTGACTCTACTGTTTCTTAAAACAGTGTGTAGAAATGGAATCTTCCTGAGTCTAGCCTTCTCCATATTATTTTGCTCTTGGCTACTCAGTGTAGTGTCTCATCTATCGAGCAATAAAAGTACTTTGTTTTCCAGGATCTGTTTATTCAATTCCAGAATGTGAAATTGAATGAACAGCAGGCCTGAATTAGTCTAGAAACATAATTTCAGAGTTAATTATACTAATTTGGTTTTAAAATACTTAAAAGCACCAATTTTAATTACTGTCAGATTTCCAAGATCTAGACACAGCACCAATAAAATGGATGGCTAGGATTTCCTGGTACATCCATATGCTTAACCAAAACAAAACAACCTAACCATATGTCCTGGGACACAGATCAATGCAGAGGTGCCCTTCATGCTGAATGGCTATTCTGGGCTATCAGGACATAAATCCTACCTTGATCTGAGCAAAGAAACATGAAAGTGGTATTTCTGGAGAACTGAAACATCTGGCATGCCAAGAAGATCATATCAGCTTGAGAGGAAAGTAAATTTTTCTTTATGTATGGAGTGTGTACTGATAGAAGATTGATTTGGCAGGCAACTTACCCTGGCTTCTTGTGGAAGTCTGCATTTGTCATTGTAGGTAGGCAGAGTACAAATTGCATGTGTGATGATCTTCCCATGATAAGTCTGCACAGGTAAGAGTCAAAAAGATCCCTACAGTGTGTATACTGAGGAACTTTCCTAGTGTAGTTGTTTTTGGAGAAACGTAACAATTGCTGATACAGCTGTGGTCATATGAGTCATTGGACAAAGCATGGCAAATACTTCTGAGAGTAGAGATGGGTGAAATCCAAGTAGGAAAAACTATTCTATCTCTCTGGCATACTGAGAGAAAACAGGCAATACTTCACAGCCAAGCAAGAGAGCAGTTGGAAGTTAGAGCCTCAGAATGCCCATGATATAAGCAACTAACCCTTGCCCTTCTGGCCCTGCTGCAAAAAAAAATGTACAGGAGGTAACAGTGCAAATACCTTTCATCTACTTTCTCTTAGGTGCCAGCCTGGTGATCTGGTAGTAATGAAACCACTCATGTTCATGGCAGTTCTTTGTCAGACATGGGACTGGTTCAGCACTGGGATTGGAGAGGGGGCTGTGTTCCTTAGTGATTTCTCCATTTCAGGTCATTGAAAAAAAAAATGGTTCTTGGATGTGGTTTTATGGAGAGGTGCCTTCCCCCCTCCCCAGTAGTGCCTTGCTTTGCTGCTTTGAGAGCACTGTCGGTGTTTACACAGGAAGGGATGGCCCTGGCACACCATTCAGGGTTTTTCCATGTGCAAAGGAATTTGTTTGAATGGCACTGAGCTATTTCATGAGTTTGCTGTGCCCAGGCTCATGGAATGAAACAAACCTGTGGTGCCAGCTGCTTGCTACTGTGATGAGGGGAGGAATACAACTAAACCTAGACTAACTTTTTTTCACTGTGTTTTTATTTATCTTCTCCATTTGGCCTTTTAACCTTGAATTATGGACCTGATCTGTGGTGAGTGTCCTCTTACAACCTTTAAATTCCTTTGTGAAAGTGCATAATTTTCATGAAAACTGTCAACCTCCTCTGAGAAGAAAGCAAGCTAATTTGGTAAAGTGTTCTGAGAAGAAACTTCTGGGACAGCTCTCAGGGAAAGCACTGAAAATAGAGCTCTCATCACAGTGCCACATGGAGCCAATGTAACATAACCACCTCATAGGTTTTTCTTGAGAAGGTCAGGGCATGGCTCGGCTCTGCTCCAAGATCTCACGCGTATTTTGCAGAATTTTCCAAAACCTTTGCATAGTGAACATTTCTTCTGAATACAAAATCAAACCTATTAAGCTTAATTCCCCCTTCCTTACCTGTTTATGAAACTGTTGCCACCTGATGGCTTTGTACATGGAAGTGTTGTGTCTGGAAGTCTGTTGTACCCTTGTTTGGTGCTCTGCATGGAGTTCACCACTCTGGCTTTCTGATTTCAATGAGCTTCAGCTGTGAAGGAGATGGGATCCCTACTTCTGCTTTGGAGTCACTGTTCTGAATTTTCAAGTCTCAGTGATGGCCCTTCAGACTTCACAATGATTTCCAAAGGCAAGGGTACTGGTGAAGTGGGTGCCTTGAATTCCATGATTCTCTCAGAGAAGATTAGTGCCTGCTAATTCTTGGATTTGTGGCCTAGTCTGTCCCCCTTACAGAATCAATTTTAGCTAGAGAAGATTTTTCCTGAATTCCTTGTAAAAGATAGGCTCAAGGGTATTGAAGAGAAAAGGAGGGATAGTCTTGTGCCTGGAGATTACACTGGTAACTGATCATTACCAAATTGACAGCAGGGGAGAGTGATTTAGTCATAGGCTTGACATTGAAATGTGCAGGCTTTCCTCATGGTACACGAATGCCATGCCATCTTAAATCAGCTCTCACTGAAAATCATTCCTTACAAACACCATGGGCCAGGGAGAGGGATGAGACATCTCCACTACTTGGAAAGCAGGGATAATGTCCTGGACACTACTGTAAAGCAATAAGCAATGGCTCCCTGGGGTCACTCTCAACTGGTTCCACTCTTACTACCAAGGCAAGCTGCTACATGCAGGCAGGCCTGCTGAACTCAGTAGGTTTGACTTACATAGGGGCAGAGATGGCTGTCGTACCTTTCCTAGAAGAAAAATTCAGTCCCAAGAGAGCAGGACCGCACTTCTGCCTTGTGAGATGCTCCTATGAAGCAGCTGCCAAGAGTCTGCCTTGGAATGACCTGACATACACAAGCATCACAGGTAAGAAAAAGACATTTAACTCTGGCTTTCCAGCGATGTTAAGAGCATGTGGCTTGAGCTTCATGACTGGTGCACCTTTCTGGCTGACTGCAGACAACAATACTAAGGTAACATTCTGGAATAACAGGCTGCCTTTCGTCGTCCCTTGAATTCCCAATGGCCAGCAAAACCACAAGGTCTTGCCTGAAAAAGCAGAGATTGCTTGAATGTTATTATCTTGTAGGGACTAACAGCTCACCACTCATTAGGCTAGACAATAAACACAGCAATGAGAGATTGCATATGAAGTTGTTTCCGTGGCATCTCAACTTGTAGGGGCACGAGTAGATTTGAAGAGTTTCAGTCGGAGTTTGACACCCAGTAAAAGCTGCCTTGTAAATCTTGCTGATCTGGCTTAATGCTGCATTGCGAGCAATAGCAGAAGTATAGCACTTTCTTACTGGGGTGAAAGAGGTTATTTTGGGGGTTAATGTATTTTTGAGCAAAGCAGAGTTGGTTGTTGGCTTGCTTGTGCCAGTACCCAGGCAGCACTCCACAAGATTAGTGTTCACATGGTTCTTTTCATCGACCTGTTTCAACAGGGCAGCATTAACCTCCTCAAATAAGTAACCTTGAGGGCCAAGGCAGAGTGATGTAAACAACTCAGGATGAGATTGCTGTTGGGAAATCAAGTGAAACTAACTCCAGCATTGTCGCAGCATTGTTTCTGTTTTCCAGACATGCTAGGAACATTAAGGCTTGTGAAATGCTGGAAAAAGAGGGAGCAGCGTTGGCTCCAGAATGAAGATGTTCTTGTGGTTACAAGTGTTTGGGAGGTATCTGCAAACAAGGTTCAGTGGTCGGTTTTGCCACAGACTTCTGCTAAAGTCACAGTCCAGTGACCAGTTCTTCTACAGAATAATCCCTGTTCTGGAAAAGGAGAGATACAATGATTCCTTTGGGGTCCACTACATGGAAATACCTTTCTGTGTCATCAGAAGCATGGGGTGGAAGCTCTGTGATTGCCTTGGTGTTAAGAGCCTGTAAGAGAGTCAAAGCTCAGGTGTGCCAGGGCTGGCCTCTCTAGGTGGAGGAGATGAGGGCTGACAAGGGTTACGTAACCACATCAAATGCAAGGGAAGAAGGAAATTACAAAAGGAACTAGAGTTATAAGAGGAAGGGACAGTAGGATGGATATAAAGAGAGGATTAAGGTAAGCAGGGTTAATTCTTTATGTGCCTCAGGATCAGTTAATATGTATAAAGGGTAGTTCCTGGCAGCTAGGTGAGGTGGTGGGCTTGGGGGCAGGACCTGAAAGAAAGATAAAGCTGTGCTCCTGCCTGTCTGATGAAAGCAAAGTGCAAACACTTAATGAAAAAGTGCTCTGTCTGTAGAGGCTGGAATATGATGTCTAATTTGAACTCAAATATTGGATTTATGGAACAGTTACCTGCTGAATTTAGTTGCTTCAGTCACCTGACTTTGAGGCAGTAGACCGAGGCATTAATTAGCTGTTCTTGCAACCTGGATGGCCACTGTAGACAGGGTATTATCTTCCCTTGTATCATTTGAAAGGATGTTTGGAATAGAAGGAACAGGGGCTGCTTGGATGATGTCCACTTGCATAAATGGTGAAAGAGCTGTTAAGGACAGGTCTAACACTATCCCAAGTGAGAAACTTCTGACCAGTTATAAGAAAACTAATTCAAATTGCTTTATGCCAAAATTATTAAGTTTTTTTAACTTTGGTAGAAAGTGCTTTTTGCCTTATGTTACTTCCATTAAAAATTTATGCTTTTTGTTTTGAATCCCCCACACCTCCCTTCTGCTGATCTTGCTTCCCAACTTTGAGTACTGCAGCTCTTTCTCTTGCTATGCTTATTTTTTTGATGTCTCTGTAAACTTTCATACTTACGTAATGATTTGGATGACTGTAGTCTGCATTGTTTATGGCAAGGCAATCTTTACAGCCTCTGTAATCTATTTTGATGGTCTACTAGTACTGGCCTCTCACCCAGTGCTGCCCTGTGACAACCTT